ATATAGAAAGAGGAGTTGGGGAGACTTTTCAAGAAAAAGAAGCAGCGTGTAAAATGCTAACATGCGATAAACTAAAGACGTAAACCCATCACTTATAGTTGAAGTGATAAGACTTCATTCCTAACGGAGCTGAGTCTGAAAGATATGTGGAAAAGCCCAGAGTGAGCTTTCTAGGCAATCACGAGCATACAGAGATGTCCAGAAACCAGTTACTGGTGAGTCAGACCACTCAGGACACTGTAAGGGGCTCAAGACGTGTCAGCACAGTGTGGAAAGCCAAAGAAAATTAGGCTAACAAATACTTAATTTTTTTATAAAAGGCAAAGGATTGGAGTTTATTTTCATTAATTATTTCAAGAAACACCTTTCAAGCCTCTTTTGTGTGTTGGGCTTTTTTTTTTTTTTTTTTTTTTTTTTTTGCAATTGCAAGAGAGCTTTATTACGAGAGAGATTGAACTCAGGACCCAAGTCTCACTGTCGCAGCAGTAGAGAAGTGGGACCCAGAACTCTGGGTGAACAGGATTTTTTTTAATTTTTATTAAATACACTTTATTCACTTTGTATCCCCCCATAAGCTCCTCCCTCCTCCCCGATCCCACCCTCCCTCTCCCTTCTTCACTCATGCCCCTCTTTAAGTCCACTGATAGGGGAGGTCCTCCTCTCCTTCCTTCTGATCTTAGTCTATCAGATCTCATCAGGAGTGGCTACATTGTCATCTTCTGTGGCCTGGTAGAGTTCTCCCCCCTCAGGGGGAGGTGATCAAAGAGCAGGCCAATCAGATTATGTCAGAGGCAGTCCCTGTTCCCATTACTATGGAACCCACTTGGACACTGAACTGCCATGGGCTACATCTGTGCAGGGGTTCTAGGTTATCTCCATGCATGGTACTTGGTTGGAGTATAAGTCTCAGGAAAGACCCCTGTGTTCAAATTTCTGGTTCTGTTGCTCTCCTTGTGGAGTTCCTGTCCTCTCCAGATCTTACTATTTCCCACATCTTACATAAGATTCCATGCACACTGCCCAACAGTTGGCACTAAGTCTCAGCATCTGCTTTGATAGTCTGCAGGGCAGAGCCCTTCAGAGGCCCTCCATGGCGGGTTTCTAGCTTGTTTCCTGTTTTCTTCTTCTGATGTCCTTCTTCTTTGCCTTTTGGGATGGGGATTGAACATTTTAGTTAGGGTCCTCTTTCTTGATTAGTTTCTTTAGATTTTAGTAGGTTTAGCCTATATTACATGTCTATATGAGTATACACAATAAGGACATTTGCTCAACCATGTTTGTAGCAGCTTTATTTGTAATAGCCAGAAGGTGGAAACAGCCCAGATGCCCCTCAACTGAAAAATGGATGCAGAAATTATGGTACATCTACACAATGAAATATTACTCAGCAATGAAAAATAAGGAAATCATGAAATGTGCAGGTAAATGGTGGGACCTGGAAAGGGTCATCCTGAGTGAGCTATCCCAGAAACAGAAAGACACAAACAGTATATACTCACTCATATAGATGTGTTAGGCATTTTTAAAATCAATATGGATGTAACAAAACAAAGGAAATAGATCCCAACCCCAAAGTCTACAACCTTATTCTGCTTTGGGGAGATATTACCAAAAAAAAAAAAAAAGTAATAATATACCGTATATGAAGCTATCACGCTTCAGGACAACAACCTCAAATGAAGCAGAGGATCTAGGAGAACCACAGCAGCTAAGGTGCCAGTTAATAAGGAGTGTGAAGAGTATAAAGGAAGAAGTCGTGAGGATGTCGACTAGAGAACTCCAGACAAGGAGCTACAGGGCTACACAGGTGGAGGCCACACTTCAGTCAGTCCTTTTATCCTCTGTATACTCTCATACCTACCAAGGCCATGTGAAACTGGGGGAGGATTATATACAGCTTGGGCAAAGGTGTAGGAGGGAGTGTCTGGGATCTCAGGTGGGCGAGCATCCAATGACTCTCTATCCCGCCTCCTATGAAGCACAGTCAACTTCTGGAGAGCCAGTTGTGGGTTTATCAAGAGTTCTCTAATTAAAATGGTAATAGCTGTCAGGCTCAAAGGACAGACTTCTACAACAGACAGGGAAATTTAAACATGCCTTATGTAAAAATCTTCTATAAGACATACACATTGAAATTTTATTACAAATCAAAAAAAAAATCTAACCTCACAGAAGATTCCTTCAAGATTGAAACTACATAAACAGCCCTTTGGAAACTCCCTAAACAATAGCCTTCAGGAAAATTCCAACCAATATTCTTGCCACCCATGACTTCTTTTGAGAAAAGTGATTGGTTAGTTTTGTGTCAAGAGAAACCGTTCAAACATTCAGGCAGTGAAAGACAGAGAAAGCACGGAGGGGCTTTTCATTCCACCCATCATGATAAAGTCACAGACCGCAGACTACAAGTATAATTGATTCAAATACAACCATTTGTGAAGAAATTAATTTAGCAAGCATAGAAAAGCAAGGAGCAGTCCAAAATGACTAATACTGTGTGTAACCCCGACAAGAGCATTTTCAAAACAAATTGCTGGTGCATGAAGGTATCATCACTTGTGGCTGGATGGCTGGCTTTAGTACCCCTATAACGATGGAGCCGCTGTCTCGGAGGACAGATAGGAGCTAGTCTCTGCTGTCAAACTGTCACAGAAGTATTAAATATGGAGGGGAAAATGACCCAAACAGTATGTAATGAGCTCCCTTTTCATTCTCTCTCCACAAAAGCACATCTGTGGATTGTTAATGACTCTGAAATGGAAGAACCAAATTGATGAGAAAGAAAACTATCTCTCAGGGATAGGGAAAAGGAAAATGAACACACACATTGTTTATAAAGCATAATTTGAAATATAAGGGCTTGTGAAAGTACTGTGAAGCGCTAAAAAGTGGAATACAAGTGTGAGCTATTATTGCTCAATTTCACATTCCTTTTCTTTATCATTTTAATATCAATCATTAATCTTTAAAAATACACAGAAATACCAAGTCATTTTCACTGACAGTATATGTCTTTGATTTTTTATGAGTAGATGCCATGCTGCTATTTTCTATCCCATTAGATGATTCTTTGTTAGAAAGGCTCTCTTAGTTAAGGCTAAGATTGCTGTGATGAAACACCATGACCAAAAGAACCTTGGGAATGAAATGGTTAACTTTGCTTACAGTCCATCTCACAGTTCATTTTCAAAGAAGGTCAGGGCAGGAACCTGGAAACAGGAGCTGATACAGAGGCAGTGGAGGAGTGCTGTTTCCTGGCTTGCTTTTAGTACTTTGCTCAACCTGCTTTTTTATTGCATTCAGGACCACCAGCCCAAGGGTGGCCCACCCATAATGAGCTGGGTCTTCCTACTGGAAGCCCAAATTCAGAAAATGTGCTCCAGGCTTGTCTATAGCCTGATAGTTGAGGTTCCTTCTACTCAGATGACTGTAACTGGTGTTGAGTTGACATAAAAACTAGCCTGTACTCATGCCCCTGATCTGCATATAATGACTAGAGTAAGAGTCTCAGCTCCCTGGGATCCCGGGTTTAGTCCTGGAAGCTAATTCCCCATGTCCAGAGTCTTGGGCCACAAGATGCACTTGTGTCAGGATGAATGCCACACAGCACCCCTCAGCTCCAACACAGGATTCAAACCCGGCAACTTCACCGCATTCACAGTCTTCCTGATCCCATACCTAAGCACTTGATAAAAGGTGAATTCTCGATAACTGAACTCATATGAAGAGCAACGAAAGCATGGAATCTCTTGGACACAAGCATGTCAAACAGCAACAAGTCTACTTTCAGACAGAGAGAGCTCAAAAGAAATAAAAAAAAAAGATTCCTTTATTGGTTGATTTCAGGACAGACACGCAGTCTGAAAGCAGTTGGTCTGCTCATCCTCATGGTGGTGCAGGCCAGCTGCATCTTCCAGTCAGCATCGTGCTAGACAGATTAAAGAACCATGTTTGTATAATCCCAGAAGGCAATGACCTTTAATACTCAGATCATGAGTTTTAAGAGTCAAAGCGGGAACTCTCACCGTACTGTACATGAGGGACAAACACACACACACTTTTTAAATTTACCTTTAAAATAAAGCAGACCATTCACAGATAACCTTGGGAAGCTCATTTCTACACACCCTGTCCATACAGAATTCAATAGTGTCTCACAAATGACGCTGTACCTTTTCGTCATGATTTCTTCACTATAAGACAAACAGATAAAAGTGGCTTTGCCTTCACCTCAAATGTGCTCATACATCGGGCAGTACCCTAAGAAGCAGGTACACAGATTAAACCGGTGTCTCACTTTCCAGACCAATGCACACCTTAATGGGGTAGCACAATTCTCCCCTCTATCCCCAGGCCCTGAAATTTGTGATTCTAAAACATGCACCTTTAATCACTTCTCTCACTGTTTATTCTGTACTGCCCTACTCCAGTTGGCTAAACACTGAGGCAACAAGGTCAGTCAATTGCAATGCATTTTTCTATTCAAATATAATAGAAAATTTGACCATCTCACATTCAAAGAGCAAATACATTCCCAGACTGACAACCGCATTCCACTGGCTTCTCCTGAGAGCCGAGTGTGACAGATGCCTGGGCTGTAATTGCCAATCAGCCTTTACATGGCAGCTGAAAACACAATACATCACTTTGATCTCCCTTGCTCTAAACACATCCACAATCAAGAAACCCGAATGAGGAATGAGAAATTGGCATCATTTCCAGAAGCTGTCACTGGTGGTGCTTAAATACTGGAACGTATATTTTCCTCATATTTTTATTTCTCTGTTTCAGAGACACTGTTAAGGAACTGAACAACCACCAAAAATTTCCATACTTAATCATATAAATAAACATACAACTACATACTAAATCTGAACATAAGCATACTTGATTAAATTCCACTTTGACAGTTTCCTTTCCTAGATATACTTTTGAGGAAGAGAAGCAGGACTGGCATTCGCAGCCAATTCTGGAATGGAGTCCGGGCATGCCATACTCACGCTTTGCCGGGAGGTCATAACCGCATGTGATTTTTGCATGTCCAGTCTCACAGCCATTCAGGTTCCGACACTCAGCTAACAAACAGGGGCCAGCGGCTCTGTGAATGCAGCCATCCACTAGGGGGGAGAGAGAACAAAGTTAGCCTATGTTTGACCTTCTGGAAAGAAATGTATAAACGGGCAGGAGAAAAGGAACTCAATTTCTTCTATTCACACCATAGCTTCATGAGTGGAAACTCAGTGGTGTGCTGGTTGCTGGTCAACATTTTCTTGGGGCGAAGGAGCCCCTGACAGGTCAAATAATTTCACTGGTGTAGGCACTCTCTGCCAACATCCAATTTCAATGAAAACGGTGTTAGGAAGAGATGCCAACAGTCCCTTCTGAGCTGTTACATATGTTCTCCAACACACCACCAGTGTCAAGTGAGGTTATGAAGGAAAAGGCGCCCGTGTGCTCTTCTCAAAAGTGTGGTGGTAAAAGCAAGGCTACCCAAACACGAAGCAGACCGCTGGACAGCCTGTGTTCCCCACAGGCTCAATGCAAACGCGATCAGGTTCCTGCAGGGGAAGAGCTATGGCACAAGGGCACATGGGTCCCTATGAGAACCTGAAAGACCATGCGCTTGTTTGCCAAAAACTGAAGGCAAACAGTGCCCTCCCTCCGGCGGCCTCCGCTGCAGCTTTTCCTTTGGGCCCTTTGCATACAGCCATCCTGGCAAGAGGTGCCATGCTGACTTGATTAAAATCAGCACCTTCTGTGACTGGAGCAGCAGTTAACGCTGAGGTAGAGCATTAATGGCTCACGGACACATGTATTAGGAACGTGGAAATGTAACTGTTTAGTTATATTTTTAAGTAAGTACAAGTCTGCAAACCAAGACAAGATTAATCTAGAATGGGGAAGAAAACAGAATCTTTTAGCTTTCAGAACATCCCACCTCTACCCCACAGTCCAAACCATCATCAACTGGTGACTCCTCTTATTTTTACTTCAAGACAAAGCCAGATACTGGACAGACTTTCATGTCAAGGGAAGAACCTGTCCAATACCCAAGTTGGTATCTATTGTTACTGTCACCAAGGCAGAACTTCAAGATAACAAGTGTCCAAAGGAATGGGCTTCTCACTTGTCTGCTTTGGCTCCCGTATATCTGTGGCATTTGATAACAGGCCTAGCCCTCAAAGACCCTCCTATCGCAATGAATATAGTCCAGATTACTCTCAACTGGCACAGCTCGAGGCCCCAGGTTCGAGGCCCCAGGGCGAAATCCACACTGTGCTCCCGACCAGCCACAAGCTGCACTAAACTCCACTTTCTAAGAATTGGTGCGAAAGGGGTGACCTCACATGCCTGTGCAGGGATTCACGAACTGTGAACTTGGTGCGAGAGGGGTGACCTCACATGCCTGTGCAGGGATTCACGGACCCTGGTGCACTGGAGGTATTCCTGTTATGCTATAGTGATGGTGTTTAGCTTAAATAGCCAAACATGGTATTGGGGAAATTTACAAACAGCTCTTTATCAGCAAATGAGAAAAGCAGAGAAACAAGACTATGAAAACCAGCATTCACCCCACTCCAGAGAAAGGCCAATGCTCTGCCCACTGGTCATACACAAAACACACTTACTCACTTAGAAGAGTGAAAATATTCAAAGACTTTTAACCAGCCATTCACTTTTTAAACTTTAGCATACAAAATTATCAACTCACGAGCAGATGATGTTTGCATTAATTCAAAGCTGTCTGCTGGAACAATGACCCGAAATTATACTACACTCATAAATGGACAGCTTGTTCAGTAAATAAAGTTCCATCTTGCCATAGACTATTCTACTGCTATTAAGAACAGACCAACTTTTAGGTTAACAGCCTTAGCATGATAAGATTTTTACAGGAAATACCTGCTTTCGAACATAGTCATAGATGCAAACTGTCTTAGGTTGGGTTCTAATTCTGTGATCAACGCCATGACCAAAAGCAATTTGAGGAGGAAAGGACTGATCTCTTCTACTTCCAGGGAACAGTCCAACACGGAGGGCTAAGCAGAGGCCACGCTGTTTACCTGCTTGCTCAGGTTCCTTTACACACAAACCAGCCTCACCTGCCTGGGGATGCTTCCCCACCCCCGGTGGACTGGGCCCTCCCGTGTTAATCACGAACATGCCCAGCAGGCCCGCCTACAAGCTGCTCCTCCCTTCTCTCAGCTGACTCTCCTTGTCTCAAGTTACCAAAAGCAGGCCAGCACAGTCACAGCTTTGTATGTGGCTGTGTGTATACGCCTGTACATGCGCACGCTTACACATGTATGCTGGGAAGACGTGCACCTCTAATGGTGAAGTTAAGGGAGAAGGACCAACATGAGATGACTATTATAAAAATTGTTATAATTTCTCTGTGCTTGATTTCTTTTCCAACCTCTTCAAGGAAATAATTTTAAAGTGAACAGTTTGGGGGTTTTTTTGACATAGAGATAGTTACTTGGTTTGAAATTGATAACTAAAATAAGATTTGTGAGTGTGCTTAATCATATGCTGCCAAGTGTCTGAGTTATTTAGATCACAGACTAATGCAGTTTGTAGATATCTAATTCTTAAAATCTTCATGGTTACACACACATTCCTGATTGAGTTAGGGTAAAGCCAGCATAGCTGAAGAGCTATTTAATAATAATGACTACAGCTTAAATGCATTGAACGCATCTGCGTCCCAGGCATTATGCCAAGGACAACCTTCTAAAGTGGATACTAATTGTATCATCTCTGTATTATGAGTGCCTAGCCTGGGTTAGCACCTTGCATAAACTATATGACCCACAAAGAACTTGCACTGTGCCTCCGAGCCCCAGAGTTCTCTCAGGTGACAATTGTACTCTGAACCGTCCATAACTCAGACAGTGAGTCCTGGCTGTCACCTGCACATGTGCCACTCCATTGTTACATTTTAGAAGTGTCTTTCATTCTGCTTATGACTTACTATGCTCATAGAGTCAAATGCACCTATATGAAGTACGTAGCTTCGGTGTATTTTAATGAATGTGCACAGACATTACTGTGACAGCAATGAGGATGAAACATTCCATCAGCCCACTGCTGTGTCCTTCCCATGGGGAACTCTCCTCTCCCGCCTGTAGGGAGTGGGGCCGCTTGCTCATATTTCAGTGGCCATGGATAGCGTTTAGCTGTTGTATAATTTCAAACTTCAGTTTGAGGGTTTCATGCCTTCCCTTCAGCAGAATTTTAAAATCTGATGCATTTCTTTATTCATCTACAAATGGACAAGAATTATTCACAGGTTTTTTTGTGATTGTAGATAAACATACATTGTATATGAATCTTTTTGATGCTGTTAAGTTTTCATTTCCAGCCAAGCACAGTGGTGCACACCTGTAATCCCAGCACTCAGGGAGGCAGAGGCAGGCAGATCTCTGTGAGTTCCTGTGACTTTGAGGCTAGCCTGGCCTACAAAGCAAGTCTAGGACAGCCAAGGCTACACAGAGAAACCCTGTCTCAGAAAGAAAGAAAGAAAGAAAGAAAGAAAGAAAGAAAGAAAGAAAGAAAGAAAGAAAGAAAGGAAGGAAGGAAGGAAGGAAGGAAGGAAGGAAGGAAGGAAGGAAG